CTCCTTTAAAAAAACATTTGCCCTTTGGCTCTAAATACTACTCTGGATCATCTGGAGTGGTATAGCATTATTCTGCTTCAGAAGGTGAGACAGAAGCTGCTCTCTGCATGATGGATGTTTGCTTTTTTGTTCTTTTCCTTCACTGTGTTCTGTTCTTTATCAGATTTGTATCACGTTGCGGCTTCCTCTGCTCTCCATGGGGACTTGTTGTTTTGTTATGCATTTTATTACCAATTATAAATTGGATTTACAAAGTCTCTCTATTAACTCTTGTATATCACCTTCCAATCTCTGAAGCCTTCTCTGGGCCCCTTTGTTGCCTAGGTAACTCACAATTTTCAACTTTTGGAATAATTATAGGTCTGAAAATATTAGATCGCTCCTGGTAAAGCAAAAAGGGGCTAAGAAGAATGGCAGGTAACTGAACATGCAATTTCCTGCTACTGCTTCAGTTTTCAATTCCAGAGAACAACATGCTCTATCAATTGGTAAGCTGGTCCATTCTTCTTAGTTGCTTTTATGATTTTTTTTAGCGAAAGTACAGCAGGGGAGACCGTGAGATTTTATTAAAAAGAAAAGCAAAAAACTGTACAAAGAGAGCACAACAAAAATAAAAACCACCCAAGAGGCTGAGGAAGCCACTGGTCAGCTAAGAACTAAGAAAAGGAGTCAAAGGAGGAAAGCAGAGCGCTTGTCTTCAGACATTCTAAGAGCTTGAAGTTTAGCCTCATCAAAGAAGGAGCATTTCCAGGAGGAGAAGGAGGGCTGTCCTCTGTCAAATATAAAGTTATTTCGCTGCTTCCATATGTGCCAGCAGCAATGATGAATGTCACCATGGAGAAGGGATTTTGGTATTGCTGTTTCGACTGCATCATCATTTGGAAGAAATCACTTTGAAAGTTCCAGTGCATATTCAAGTGTTGCCAGCAGGCCTTCCTGCATGGACAGCTGAAGAAGAGGTGGAAAGCAGTTTACTCAATATTCTGATTGCAGAGAATGCGGTTATAGTTATTGCCCTCCAACTTGTGCTTTTTCCTTTTAAGAAGGTTCCTTGTGTTTAGCCTATCCATAATCATGAGCCAGGAGAAGACTTTAAGTTTGTTACTGGATTTTGAGTCCCAAATCCACAGAAAAGGAGCAGGGGGTTGAACATTTCTATAGGAGATTTTGTAGAATTTAGAAGATGTATGCTGCTTCCCCAAATATAGTGCCAAGAGTCTTTTGTATCTTGTTGAACCTGTATATTTTTTAATGTAATCTTGCATTCTTTGATATTCTTGATAAGCTTGTTCAGACAGAGGAATCTAGCAACTTCAATTAAATCCTCATAACAATCTCATCCATTTGTCATTGGTATTTCCCACAGGCAGTGTTCACAGCCTTTCATTATGGCATTGACATCACCACCCCCAAAACCTTTATCTTAATGTTAGTGAATTTTTAAGGAATCCATTTGTGCATATCCTTTCAGATAAGCTGACAGAGGAAATTAGATTGCGCAGGAGTCAGCTGGTCAGTCACCATTAGTATAGCATTATTAAGTTAAACTCTGGATCATGTTGTTCTTGAAAATATTTGAAATGTCTACGCCTGGATCCTTGTGCAATATCTCTTATGATAACTACATGAAAATAGCTGGCCGTTTAATTTTCTTTAAAAGGTGCAAAGTTTTTTTTATGTTGGTTGACAGGGATACTACTGTTAATATATTGGAATTTTCTAATGTTGTTGTTTTGATTGCTTCTCTCAGGTGTGCAAATTGCTTTTTTTGTCATTAAGCAATACAAAATTTGTATATTAGGTGTATTGATATGAGTTGGTGAAAGGATAGGTTCACCAGAGGAAATGTCCAGAGGATGTACAAAGTCTTCCTATACAGTGTATAGGTTCGTTAGAGGTTTCCCCCTCGATCAGTTTGCTCTTGTCAATTTTTCTTAGTGGTAACTTATATTTGATGTAGTTTTAAGTTCGTTAGAGCCAAACAATAAGTGATAACTTAAAAACACATAGGAGTTTGGAGAACCCCTGAATCTGTAAAAACAATTGATGATTGAAGGATGGTCGGTCACTATTTCATATTTGCAGTAAAATAGAATACTCTGTTTTAGGGGAACTTTGTATTTTGTTAATGCCCTTGAGTTCAGCTAAAATCTGTACCCTACATATGTAGCTTCATTAGCGACTCCGCTGCAAATACGTGTCCATGAGCTTTAATTTATCATCGATTAGGCCAGTGACAAGGGTTCTGATGGCCATAAGAGTATCTGTGAGGTCACACTAGCAGAGCTAGGTGTACATGTATTTGTGCATGTGAAATAAGGTGGATGGGGATCTAATCACCAGGCACACTAAATGGCGAACGTCCATTGGAATTGAATCTAGCGAACGAATTTCCGATATGAACCCCTTTACATTTTTAGAAAATAATAATTCCACCCCTTTCCTATTATAGATGGCGCAGCGTGCTCATTCTCTTTTGGCTGCTTGGCTGCACACACGCTCACCCCTTGCATGCTGACACCAGTGCTGATATAGGCGAAAAAAAGCAAAACATTTTTTTTCCAAATTTCTTTAACATCTAAACAGTGTATCTGTTTTTAATTCTGTTTACGTGACGAGACGAACAAAACAAGACCCCACTTGCATATGTTTTGAAGATTTTTTTTTCTAGTAGCAATTTATGTGTACTGACTTATAACATATAACTTATAATGTATAACTTATAACCTATAACTTATGCGAAAAACTTGAAAACTGAAGTTACGAAACATAACTTATTTACAAAAAAGTTATTAAACACAAAGGAACGAATTAACTTATAACTTGTGCCAAAACTTACAAACACAGTATTTTAGAAATAGACAAATATTGAAATCTTAGGGCCAAATTCCTAAGCACTCGGAGCGTGGAGCATGTCACGTCCACCGTCCTTCCGGGCCTCGCTGGGCTCGTCTCTGGAGACTGCCACGCGGGGGCGTACGGGGCTCGAGCTCGATCCTCCACCATGGCCGTACCCTCCATGGATGACGACGCGGCCCTGCAAAAAGGCCGGGTCCGCAAGCCAGAGGAGGAAGCCCTCTGCCCCACATCTCAGTGGGAAGAGGGGGGATCGTGACTCACAAGGGGAGCAGTTGGATTTGGAGGATAAGTTGCACGAGGACGAGGTGGTGGTCGAGTTCTTCGGCCAACTCTGGGCCATTGATTCCCCACCGCCTCGCAGTAACCCTAGACCACAAGCCCCCTCCACCAAACTCCTGAGTGCCGATAGTTTGTTCTGGATCCGGCGAGATTTGGTGGATTCGCGGAGTTTCTCGTCAGAGGATTGCTACCCGGTGCAGAAATCGGATCGGTTGGTGAAGCCGCCGGTGAAGGTCAACTTCGCGAGGGACATCTGGGGGAGAGGGGGTGAGAAGGAGACTTTTGCTGAGGTGCTTCAGAAGAAGAAGATGGAGGAGGGTGGAAGATGGGTTTGGCAGCCTGAGCCGCGGCGTCCGCCCCCTCAAAGGTCGGCTCGTCCTCCACCGCCACCACACAACAATCACAGGGTTCCGACCCAGCAGGGGTGGCAGGACCTCGGCTGGAGGCAGCAAGGTGCTACTCGCCCACCTCCACCGCCCCGTCCGCAACAACATCAACCGCCGCCTCTGCAACTACGACAACCACAGCAACCTCCACCTTGGAGAACATCTGCACAGGGGCGGGGGCAAGGTACTCAGATTCCTGATCCGCCTTTCATCATAGATCCTAGATATAGGAAGCTTACTTGCTATAACTATGGAGAGCCTGGTCATTTTGTGGGTAATTGTACTCGTCCTAAGGTTTGCTTTATCTGTGGAGTTCCTGGGCATCATATGAATGTTTGTCCAAAGTGGAAATCAGATCACCCTGTTGCAGCGTATGTGGGTAGTTCTAGTCTAGGACTTGGTTTTTATCATTTAGATGTGCCAAGTGTGGAATCTACTCAATGGCTGAATCTGACTAATTGTGGAGTGGTTAGAGTTAAGAATGGGCAAATTACCTTGGCTGAATTAGAAGTGGAGTTATCTGACATATACAGTAAGGATTGGCCTTGGCAAATCAGAGAATTGGAACCTAGGAGATTTTTGGTGAGATTTCCTCCTCATAAGAGGGTTAGTGACATAAAAAATTACCCTTCCTTCAATCTGAGGAAGGATGGGGTTCAAGTGGAGGTGCTTGAATGGATTGGTGATCTGGAACCCCACAGTGAATTGGAGGAGGTTTGGGTTGAGATAAGAGGCATACCACCTAGATACTGCCATTGGAAAGTTTTTGCTCAAATAGCTTCTGGGTTTGGCTTACTGATTGAGGTTGACTGGTCCACAGTGTTCAAGACCTTTTATGAGGTCGTCAGAGTTAAAGTGGCATGTAGGAATGGGAAGAAAATTCCTAGGCAAAGGTTATACGAGATGGGGATGAAGCTGTATGTTATTGAGCTGACAGTGGAAGATGAAGCTGATGTCAGTAAAGCTGCTGATGACAAGGGTAATGATGATGGTGGGGGCGATGATAAAGGAAATCTGGGTAATGATGATGAGACAGATGACTTGTATGATTCTGATGATGAGATGAACCATCTGTCCAAGCCGGCTGAAGACACAAAACAATAGACGCCAAAAACTTCTATGCCCAAGAGTACATGAAGCAAGACAGTAAATATGGAGGTGATGATGGAGGACGTAATGAATCAGGGGTCTATTATGGTGCAGATGATGTCGGAACAAGCTAAGCAGTTGACTGCTCAGGATGCACTAATGGTATTGCAGCCGAGTTACATTGATGTGACTCAGAGGGAAGATCCTTGCCAGAATCTGTGGGACAGACAGAAATCTTTATGGAAGAACAGTCTACAGAATGGTTTGGGGTATGTGAATACAACTCAGTTTTGTGAAGCAAAGTTTTAGAGCTCCCTTGAGGGATGTTCTGGGGGAAAGAGTTATGATAATGAAAAGTTTCAGAGTACCCTTGAGGGATGTGCTGAGATGGATAAATATGAAACACCAGTAACTAACCAGGTGAAGGATTCGGATTGTAAGATAGTTAGCAACAAGCTTCTTAGTTTGCTGAATGAGGAGTCACATCATTCCAAGTGGGAGGAATTCAGAAGAATGGCGAAGCAGGATATTGCAACTGAGGAATGCTCTTCTCTGTTAAGAAGAATGGAGCTGGAAGTTTCTGAGGAGGAGATGGAAGCAAGTGATAGTGATACTGAACATATGGATGAAGGTGAAGAATTATCTAGTCTGCAAGAAGAGGGATTACTTCAGACAGAATTGAATAGGGAAGCTATAATCATTGAGGAGCAGCTGATCAATAAGAGCCAGAAAAGGAAAAACAAGTGGGACCCAACTCTTAGGTGCCCCAGATCAAGAAGACAGCCGGAGGATGGGCGCACTTTGCTGGAAAAAGCTCAGGATTTTAAGAAAATTAAGAATCTGGAGACAGGTACTAAACACAAATCTTCTTTTGCTTTTGAAAGCACTACAAGTTTACTTCAAAAAGCTAATATTGCTAATATATCTTAGGGTATTAATACCTATAATCAATTAGAAAAGATAGAGGTATTGAAGCAGAAAGAATTAGCTAATAGAAGGGAGTTTGAGGAAAGTAGTCCTGAGACTACTTTACCTGCAAATTTTGATAGTGTTTTAAGTTGTGAGGATTTTCCTCCACTGTTTTCTGATACTGACCCTCCGTTAAAGGATCAGTTAGATTTGAGGGGACAGTCTTGGGTGCAAGTAGCTTCTAAAAGCTACGATAAGAGTCCACTTAAGTTGAGAAATGATAGGAGCTCTATGGAATATTAGAGGCCTTAATAAAGAAGGCCGGTTGCAATGTATCACAGATTTTGTTAAAGAGAATCAGTTAGATTTTGTTGGCTTTCAAGAAACAAAAAAAAGAGAGTTTTCAAGATTCTTTCCTAAAATATGTTCAAAAAGACTTTAACTGGCAATACCTCCCTGCGGAGGGTACAGCTGGTGGTATCCTTGTTGGTTTTAGTGAAAGAAAGTTTGAGGTCTTGGCCTGGAAGATAGGAGTGTACAGTGTAGCTGCAATAGTTGGAAATTGTCATGACAATTCTGTGTGGAGGCTGATTACGGTCTATGGTTCACCTTATGATGAAGGAAAACAAGAGTTCATTAATGAACTTGAAAATTTACTTGATAATTGGGATGGCCCTACTGTGATTGGTGGTGATTTTAATTTAGTCTGTAATGTTAAACATAAAAGTAATGGAGTCATTAACCACAAATGGGCAGATTTGTTCATGGACTGGGTTAACAAGTTTGGTTTGATTGAATTAAAACCTTCATCTAGAGCGTTTACCTGGACAAATAATCATGAGCAGCCTATTTTGGCTGCTATTGACAAAATTTTTTGCACAACCAATTTTGAACATAAGTTCCCTTTGGCCTTTGTGTCTACTAGCTCTAGAGCAAGTAGTGATCATGTTCCTCTTATCCTTAATTTTGGCTTGGAGGAGAGAAGGAAACCTAGTATGTTTAGATTTGAGAAGTGGTGGTTACAACAGCCTGATTTCAAGGAGCTTATTGCCAAATTATGGAACACTTCTTGTGCCTTCACGGACCCTTTAGACATTTGGCAGTTTAAAATTAGATTGGTTAAAATAAGGTTAAGGGGTGGGCCTTAAATATTAATGCCCAAGTTAGAAAACAAAAGTTAGAAGTCCTTAAGGAGTATGATCTGCTAGACTTGAAATATGAGAACTTTGTTATTACTGAGATGGAAAGAAACATGATGAAGGAGATTGTTAAAGACCTAGAATCTATTTGGAAGTTAGAGGAGATTATAGCTAGACAGAGAGCTAGGAATAGAAATGTAAAAGAGGGTGATAGAAACACAGCTTATTTTCAAGCTATGGCAAATCAAAGAAATAGGAAAAAATGTATTTCTAGGTTAGAAGGCCCTGATGGTTGGATAGATGATAATAAAGGCATGCTTGAGCATGCTGTTGATTTTTACAGAAAATTGTTTGGTAAAGAAGAAGATAGTGGTGTTAAGTTAGGACAAGATTTTTGGGGAATGGATGAGAAAGTGACTGCCTTAGAAAATGAGCTGTTAGAGGCTCCTTTCACTGAAAATGAAGTTAGAGAGGCTGTCTTTAGCTCTTATGCTGAAGGAGCCCCAGGCCCTTATGGGTTCTCTTTTCTTTTTTATCAAGTCTTTTAGGATCTGATCAAGGTGGATCTTATGAATCTTATAAGAGTGTTTGAAAAAGGGGATCTGAATCTTGACAGGTTGAATTACGCCATGATAACGTTGATCCCTAAAGAACCTGAGGCTAAGGTGCTCAAGAAATTCAGGCCGATTAGCCTAATAAACTGTAGTTTTAAAATTTTCTCCAAATTGTTGAATAATAGAATGGTGAGAGTAGCTGATAGGCTAGTGGCGTCTAACCAAACAGCCTTCATTAAAGGAAGGTTTATTCTGGAGAGTGTTGTGGCTGTGCATGAAATTATTCATGAGGTCCATAAACGAAAATAGGAAGGTGTGGTGTTGAAACTAGATTATGAAAAGGCATATGATAGGGTCAGCTGGTCTTTCCTTGAGGAGATGCTTGAGACTAGGGGTTTTGGTGGAAGATGGAGAGGCCGACTTCGACAAGTTGTTAGAGGAGGTTCTATTTGTATTCGTATTAATGATGAGAATAGTATCTTTTTTAAGTCTGGGAAGGGTTTGAGGCAGGGAGACCCTTTATCAACTCTCCTGTTCAATTTAGTAGCTGACGTTTTTTCTAGAATGCTTATGAAAGCAGCTAGGCATGGACTTATTACTGGGTTATTACCACAAGTGGTAGAGGGTGGTATCATCAGCTTGCAATATGTTGATGATACACTGCTTTTCTTAGAAAATAATCTGGAAAAGCTTGCAATTTGAAATGGCTTCTAGTTTGCTTTGAGCAAAGGTCAGGCATGAAGATTAATTATGATAAGAGTGATTTGTTAACGGTGGGTTTAGAAGAAGATCAGGCTAATGAGTTTGCTAGACTTTTCTGTTGCAAAAAAGTGAATTTCCTATTAAGTACCTGGGAGTTCCCCTTCATTATAGTAAGCTTACAAGGAAAGACCTACAACCTGTGGTGGACAAAATTATCAAAAGGATAGCTGGTTGGAGGGGTAGGCTTCATCTTATCTTTGGGAGGATTGTTTTGCTAAAAGCTTGTCCAGCTAGTATTCCAATTTATTTGTCCATTATAAAGTTCCCTAAGTGGGCTATCAAAATGATAAACTCTTAGATGGGACATTTTACGTGGAACAACTTTGATGATGAGACATAAGTATCACCTAGCTAGTGGCAGTTAGTGGCTCAAAAGAAGGAAGAAGGAGGGCTAGGTATCCTAGATTTGAGGAGCTTAAATTTAGCTTTGTTAGCTTCGTGGATCTTTAGATACCATCTGCATAAGAATGCTATTTGGGTTAAAATTGTAGACTTTAAGTATAATACCATTGATCCGAACATTTTTGCTACCCGGATCTAGGATCTTCCCTTTTTGGAAAGGGGTCCTCTGGGCAGCTCAAGCAGCTCATATGGGCGCGATGGGTAGTAGGGAATGGGAGGAAGGTAAGGTTTTGGGAAGACCAATGGGTAGGAAATACAAGTTTGGCCATTATGTTCGGCCGTTGTATGTCATTAATGAACAAACATGGTAAGGCTATAAGCCAGTGCAGGATGGGCATGAGCTTATGCTCACTTTTAGAAGGAATGTTTCGAGGCTCTTATGAACATGTGGTGGGAACTCTGTGGTGTGATAGAGGGAACCATCCTCAACGATGATGAGGATCGAGATAGTGTGGAGCTATACCTCTCATGGCACTTCTGTTGTCCAATCCTTGTATGCTAGGATTAATTGCAGAGGTGTGTTTCGGTTTATATTCATGCCATATGGAAGCTTGTGATTCCACCTAGAGTACTGATTCTTTCTGTGGTTGCTCTCTCATAACAGAATTCTTACGAGGGACAATTTACAAAAAGAAGGGATGTTTGGATCCCACTTGCCTTTTTGTAGTGAACAGAATCCATTCGGCATTTATTCTTTGATTTTTGTGTGTAGTTTGTGAGTGTTTGGAGTTTGGTTCTTTGAGGTGTTAGGTGAGAATATCGGTCTTGACTATGAGTCCAGTAGCTAGGTTGTGGGTTGCGAATAAGAAACATGTGGTTACTAATGTGATTTCATCTGCTATTTTGTGGTCCTTATGGAAGCTAAGAAATGAAATTTGCTTTCAGGGGGTGTTTTGGCTAGGTACAAAGATGGTGCTGATCAGGATTGCAAAGATGCTAAGAGGCTGGCTTTCAATGTTCAAGCGGGAGATTGGAATGATGCTGGAGAGCAGAATAGTCAGGATGGAAGAATTGTCAAGGCGCCCGGCACAGATCGAGTGGAAGGAGTAGGTGGCAACGGACCTGGAAACCATGGTGGACTTGGTGATGCAGGATCTGGAGAGCAAAGTGAGCCAGCCGCCAAGAAACTGTTGGGATAGGGGAATGAGATCAAGGTTGGAGACATTGGCATTACAATCTTCGGCTCTGGGCTCCGTAGCTGTGATTCAGTCGGAGGAGACGCAAGAAAGGTTTTGTAATAATCAGTGTGAGTCATTTGGGTGCTCGTCTAGGACGTTTTGGCCATTAGGCTTGTTTGCTGTGCTTTGGACTGTAAACTCTGGCGGGAGCGCCTGGTACGCTGTCCTGAATGCTGTTGAGTGCTTTATGCAAATAAAGAAGGGGAAACCTTTCTTCTAAAAAAACTTACAAACACAAAAGTTATTAACACACAAAGGAACAAATTAACTTATACCAAAACTTAGAAATACAAAAGTAATAAAAACACAACTTATGTACAAAAGTAATCAAACAAAACTTATGTTCATAAGTTACTCTATACAACTTATGTACGTAAGTTATTCAATACAACTTGTGTGCGTAAGTTGTAAGTTATAAGTTAATATATATAAATTACCATTAGAAAAAAATCTTCAAAATATATGTAAGTGGGATCTAGTTTTGTTTGTCGCGTAGAACACAGGGGTGCGGGCGGAATAAAAAATTGATACACCGTTTAAAAGTTGTAGCAATTTAAAATAATTGTTTTGCTTTTTTTAAGACGGCGTCAGCGGGCGCTCCCACAGTGTGTCGGAGAAGAATCGTTCGCTGGTTTGGTTTTGAGTGAACGTCCGCGAAAGCGGATTTAGGATATAATCACCGCGGATGGCATTGACACAACTTCACAATGGATGAAGAACTCCAACGGCTCAAACCTCACCCATTAGCTTGACAAGTTCACTGTGGACTTGAACGTAAAGCAGTACGATTTTACTGATGTAGTTCCTGTACCTTGACAAGTTTCATACAGATGCAGACATACAGCACGATTTTACTGATGTAGTAGTAGTAACTAGGCATCCTTCCCGGCATCGAAGAGATCGGTTGTTCCCAGACGTCAGGGCTGACTGTCCACCGCCGGCGTTGGCTGCCCCTGCCCAGCTGCATGCAAACATCGTCCGCAATCGGTCAGCCGAAAAACAGAGGAAGAGACAGGAGGAGAGCAGAGGAGGGGCAGAGGACACTTACCGAAGCAGATATAGAGCAGCTGCGGTGGCAGGACGACGCCGCAGGCGATGGGCAAGTACAGCATGCGGACAGGATCAATTGGCTTGCGCAGTACCTTGTTCATGTCGCCGTGGATGACCGGGCACAGGCAGCGCAGCATGTGGTCGCCGCGTCCGGCAGCAGCCGCGGCGCTGGACGTGCGGAGGAACGCCGCGAGGGCGGAGCAGCATGCGCTGGTGGGCATCGGCGTGTCCGTCTGGTTCCCCGTGACGAACTCCCCGCAGGCCGTCAGTGGCGCCAGAGGCGCCACGCAGTCGATGTTGGTGCCGCTGTCGGCGCGGGCGTCGCTGCCGCCCCTGCCCGGAACCGGCAACGGCCGTGGCACGGGCCAGCCGGGGAACGGGCGCGGCGGCTGCGGCTGCGGCTGCTTCGGGGCCGGGCAGGTGCAGGGCGGGCACCGGCCTCGTGGAGGCGGCACCGGCGGCGCCGGCACTGGAACGCAGTCGTCGCCGCCAACCGTCAGCGCTTCCTCCGGGCCGAAGGTGCGGTTGCAACGACGCGGCGGTGGTGGCGGCGGTGGCTGCACGGGCTGCACCGGTTGTACCGGCGCCGTCGGTGTTTGTGGCGTCTCCCGGTGGTGATGGAAACGGCGATGGCGACGGTACTGGAGCTCTTCGGCGGCCCCCGCTTCACCGCCGGCGGTGGCCAGTGGTTGATGCTGCAGCAGCAGCAGCGCTACTACCGTCGTCAGAAGTCCGCGACTTGCCATGCTCCGATCTTCAAGCTTCAATTACGCTGGCGGCCGGCGAACTTGGACTGGTTGCTTCCTGGCTGCCCTTTGCAGCTTGCTGCTCTGTCTATTTATGATTCCTCGGCGGCGGCCGGCGCGCTGCGGGCGCACAAAGATCACCTCCCAGGCATGCAAAGCACAACACAACCGTCCGACGTCTTTCTTCTTCGATCCAAGCGGGGGCTTGAGTCTCGTCGGGCAAAGATTCGTGATCCCATACAGTCGGCGGGCAAAGACTGTGCCATCCCATAATACTAATAATATATATCTGCCGGTAGTTAAAATTTGAAAATGTG